AACAATTTACATTACAACAATTTATATCAATTAGCCAACAACATTTCTCAGCAGAAATGACTGCACAGAAAGAAAGTGAGAAAGAGGAAAACCTATGGTCCTTGTCCTTTCTGTCCTCCTTGCCTACCAGACAGCCTAAGGGAGAGACAGCTGGGAGAATGCATATCAAGAAGTGAAATAAAACATTTGAAGCAGTCCAGGCATCATTTCCACCAAATGCATGACCTATGAAATATGAATTGGCTAAATTCAGTGATTCCTTAGGATAAATATTGTTATATTTACATTTAAAACAGGCATTACACAATATAAAGATGAATGCTGCCATTCATGCTAGCAATTTTAAATTTTTTTAATTAGAATAACATTTAATATTAAATAAAAAACACCATGGCAAGTGTCAGAGAGCTTGTGGAAGAAAGGAAAAAGTTTTTTATTGTAATAACTTCATAAGGAGATGCTTTTCTGCATTTTGCGCAAAGGGACCTACATTTTCATTTTGCACTGGATCTGGCAAATTGTGCACCCAGCTCTTCAGGGATCTTGGGCTTCCATAATAGCACTATTTTTCAGTATGTGCTGTTGTCACTTTGACAATTTTTAAAAATATATATGCACACTTTAAAAAAGTAAAAATAAAGCAAGACACTTCTGCTTCTGGAAAAATAGAGCAAACGCACTTTTCTCCCCCTACTGATTACGACTGAAAACACTAGAATGAATATGTATACTCACAAATAAGGGATGCCAAAAGATAAAGAGAAAAGGCAGATCAGGTAAGGATCTGAGAACCCTAGGAATAACATTATAGTGGTATTAGTCACCTTTCCATCTGTAACAAAATACCTGAAATGATTAACTTAGTAAGACAAAAGGTTTATTTTGGGTCACAGTTTTGGAGGTTACAGTCCCTGATCAATTGACCTGGTTACTAAGCAACATATCATGGTGGAAGTCACCTTCAGTGACCTAGGAAATCCCACTAGCCCCACCTCCTAATGGCACCACCCTGGGGACCAAGCCTCCAACACAGGTCTTTGAGAAACATTCAAAATCCAAACCAGAGCAGTGGTAAGGTCTCTGGGTTTTCTTTTTTCCATATTCCCAGATTTGGAGCTGAAGAAGGCTGAACCCAGAAATGTCCCCAGGCATAAATAAACGAAGGCTCAACCAACACCCGATTTCTCTAACCAAAGGACCCCAAATAGGCAGCCTAGAAAAACAGAAACTTCCAGAAAATAATTGCTGTACTTCAGTCAAACACCACAGGAGGTGGAAAACTGGTCTCTTCCTTCAAAACCACCAAGGCTTGGGTGGTTAGCTTCACCACCCCCAAACCTCTCCAATGGGGGGAGGGTGTCAGAAAAGACCAAATAGGGAGGTGGGACCCTCATCCCCACTGTAATAAGTGGCACCCCCACGGTGACAGTGGAGCACATGAGGAGCAGCCATGAAGCACCCCTTCCTTCCCTCTCAGAGGTATCCATAGAGGCCCCCTTGCCTGTCATCAGAAGCTGACTGGAAACCCTGGATTTCTACCCTCACCTAGCAGTAGCTTGACCCCAGTGCCCCTTTCTCTACTGAAACAATGTCAGAAAAAGCAAGCTAAAACATTAGGTTTAAGTAATATCCAGAATCTCATATCAGAATGCCTAAAATGTCCTGGTTCCCATTTTTTAAAAAAATCATACCAAGAACTAGGAAGATATCAAACTGAAAAAGGCAATAGATGCCAACAAGATGTAAGAGATGTTAGAACTAATTGACAAAGTTTTTAAAGCAGCTGTCGTAAGCATGCTTCAATAAGCAGTTATGAACACATGAAGAAAGTAGAAAGTCTCCGCAAAGAAAGAGAGGACATAAAGAAGAACTAAGTGGATTTTTAAAACTAAAAAGTATAATGAGTGAAACTTTAAAACCAAATGGATGAGCTCAACAGAAGGATGAAGAGAGGGGGAATATTTGAACTAGAAGATAGAACAATAAAGCTAACCCAATCTTGAAAACAAAAAATAAGAAATAAAAAGAAAAGGAAACAGATATATTCTGTGCAGGTAGAATGTGTAACAACAACCCTCACCATAATGTATTATGTAGCAATTTTTTAAATGAGGGGAAAAAGGAATAAACCTCCAGGCACTTGTACAACTATAACAAGAGATCTAATATTCATGTCATCAGAGGACCAGAAAGAAAAGAGAAACAGTAAAGGGCAAAAAGTAATCAAAGAAATAAATAGCAGAAAACTTCCCAAACTTGGCAAAGGCATAAGCCTCTTAGTGACTCAAGAAGACAATAAAACTTCAACTACAATAAACCCAATCATGTCCACACCAAGACACATCATAGTCAAATTTCTAAAATATGAAGACCAAAAAAAATGAATGAAAGGTTTAAATGACAGAGGATTTCTCATTAGAAAGCACATAGACAAGAAGAAAGTGCCATGTTTTTCAAGTGCTGTAAAAAAAAAAAAAAAAAGTCAACCCTTAATCCTGTGTCCAGTGAAAATATCTTTTAGGAATTAAGAGAAAACCAGGACATCTCAAATGAAGGAAAACAAAGATAATCAGCAGACCTACTCTAAAAGAATAGTTGAAGATGTAATCTAGTTAGAAAGGATATGGTAAAAGAAGGAATCTTGGAACATTAAGAAGGAAAATTAGGGCTGGGGTGTGGTTCAGTGGTAGAGTGCTTGCCTCACATGTGTGAGGCACTAGGTTCAATTCTCAACACCACATATAAATAAATGAATAAAATAAAGATCCATCAACACTAAAAAATATTTTTTAAAAAAGAAGGAAAATATAGGTAAGTACAATAAACTTCTTTTTCTCTTGAATTTTCTAGAGGTGAAATAAAAATTATATCACTATTTAATGTGATTCCAAATATATATGGAAGAAATATTTAAAGGAAGATAAAGGAACTTAAAAAGAGAAAATATTTCTACATTTTCATTTCTACAAAATGCTTACATCAATAGAAAATGATAAGTTATGCATCTATAATGTAAGAGTAATAACTAAAAGAAAGCTATATAAATAGATGCATTCAACAGGGCATGGGGTGCCTGCCTGTAATCCTAGCAAATCAATAAGCTGAGACAGGAAGATCAGAAATTCAAGGCCAGCCTCACAACTTAGCAAGATCCTGTCCATAAATAAAAAATAAAAAGGACTGAAGATGTAGCTCAGTGGTAAATCTCAGTGGCGATTACCAAGAATACAAGTAACAATAAATGTTGGTGAGGATGTAGGGAAAAGGGCACTCTCATACAATGTTGACAGACTGCAAATTGGTGCAACCACTCTGGAAAGCAGTATGGAGATTTCTCAGAAAACTTAGAATGGAAACACCATGTGACCCAGTTATCACACTCTTTGGTATATACCCAAAGGACTTAAAATCAACATACTACAGTGACACAGCCATATCAAATGTCTATAGCAGCTCAATTCACAACAGCTAAGCTATGGAACCAACCTATGTGCCCTTCAACAGATGAATAGATAAAGAAACTGTAGTATACATACACAGTGGAATATTGCTAAGCCATAAAGAAGAATGAAATTATGGTATTTGCTGTAAATGGATGAATCTGGAGACTATCATGCTAAGCAAAATAAGCCAATCCCCCAAAAACAAAGGTTGAATGTTCTCTCTGATCTGTGGATGCCAACACACAATTAGCAAGGGGGAAGTTTAAAAGTGCATTGGATTAGACAAAGGGGAAGGAAAGGAAGGATGAGGGGATGAAAATAAGAAAGACAGTAGAATGAATCGGACATAACTTTCCTATGTTCAGATATGAATACACAACCAGTGAAACTCCACATCATGTTCAACCAAAAGAATGGGAAGTTATACTCCATGTATGTATGATATGTCAAAATACACTCTACTGGGTTGGGGTTGTGGCTCAGTGGTAGAGGGCTTGCCTAGCACATTCGAGGCCCTGGGTTCAATCCTGAGCACCACATTAAAATAAACAAAATAAAACTATTGTGTCCAACTAAAACATAAATATTTTTAAAATATACACTCTATTGTCATGTTTATCTAACAAGGACCCCCCAAAAAGCAATCTTAAGTATACATACAGCAAAGACCTACAAACTTTGTAAAGTAAAATCTTATAAACCTGTTATCATAGAAAAAGAAATAGAAAAATACATCATTATAGTTAGAGCTTAGTGCTCCTTTCTCTGCGATTAATTTTTTAAAAAAGTGACAGAAAATAAATAATAAGACAAAAAAGATTCAACCAAATATCCACAAACAAATATTCAACCAAATATCAAAAAAATCTGATCAACATTTATGAAGTACCTCAACCAAAACTGCAGAATTTTATTTATGTTCCCACATAGCATACACCAAATAGACCATATCCCATACCATTAAAAAAAATGTGAAAATAACTGAAATTATGCAGCGTACTCTCCAACCACAAGGGAACCAAACTAGGAATCAATAACATAATTACAATAGGAAAATATCCAGGCAATTGAAAACTAAGAAGCACTGTTCTAAATAACCCCTGGGTAAAAGACAAAGTCTCAAGGTCAATTAAAAAGTATACAGAACTCTACATGATGTATGACCAGAAGAATGAGAAATTATACTCCATTATATATGATGTATCCAAGGGCATTCTACTGTCTTGTTCAACTAATTAAAACAATTTTTTAAAGAACGTATTATATTAAACTAAAATGAAAAATACAACTTGTCCAAAGTTGTGGTCATAGTTTAAAACTAGGCCAAGAAAAAAAAAATTATGGTACCAAAATGAAATATAGAAAAGAGGAAAAGTCTCAAATAATAATCTAAGCACCCACCTCCAGAACCCAGGAAAAGAAATCCAAAAGCAACCAAAGGAGGGAAAGAAAAAAAACAAAATTTAAAAAAAAAAAAAAAGTTCTTTGAAAAACAATCGATGAAATTGACAAACCCTAACAGGAATTACAAAAAGAGAGAGAGAGGACACAACTCACCACATCAGAAACAGGGACGTCCCCTCCGAACCCACAAACGCCCGCAGGACACAGGCCGTGGAGGGACCCACGCGGCCCAAGATGGCGGCGAGGAGGAGACGACCGTGCAGGCGGCTTCCCGAGGCGAGACCAGGACAGAACCCTGCCGGGATTTAATACTGGACTTTCAGCACTGCCTAGGGGCTCAAAAGGTTGATAAAATAAAAAAAAAAAATTTTTTTTAAAGAAAGAAAGAAAGAAACTCACCCCGGGCACCGCAGCAGCTGATGTGGACCCGCCATCATGGGCAGGTGGGAAAGGGGCGCCAAGAGAGCCCACACTTTGGGTTACCACTCTGGCGTGTCTTGAAGCGGAGAGCACGGTGATCGGGACATGGTTGAGCTGATCCACTGGGTGAGCTGCACTTTGTTCTCCTGTGAGAGGGACGCTGTGCGCCTCCCAGGAGCCAGGCGAGAGCCAGGCCGCGGCCATATTTCCGGCTGCACTACGGTGGCCGGCAGGTGTGGCTCCAAACTCAGGTCCCCCTCCAAACGCAGGTACCCAGACCTTGTCATTTCACCCGGGTCTGAAAACCAGACCTGGCAGGGGCCCACTACGAGACCCAGAGTGTGACTGGAATATGACAGGTTAAATTCGGGTGTGGAAAGTGTTGCACCCAGGGGAATTCAAGAGGCTCAGGCCTGAGAGATCCTGCAAGACCCCATGCGGACAACCAGGAACTTGGGGGGCCAGGTGGACTGAATGTACCCTTTGGATTGAGCCCAGAAGGCTGGGAAATGGGGGTCAGAGGGAGATGAAGGATTGGCTCCTTCACCACTCAAGGAAAACCCAGGGGAGATCCACTGGTACAGGTGCCTAGCATGGATCAGAAGCAGCCAGGCTCTGGAGCTGTGCTGATTTAAAAGCTTCAGCAAACATCATTCTGCAAAGCACTGAGGATCTAGCTGCACCTCCAGGAGCTCAGCCTCTAGGAACCACTTTCAGGGAACTTGCTGTGAGTGGAGTAGACAACACCCTCCCACCTACCCCACCTCCTACTGCCAAGATGGGAAGCTGAGAATGGTCAACCTGACTAGTTCCACAAAAAGAAGAAAGAACTGACAGCCCCTGACTACTACAATTGCACACAATACATGGCTCAAGAAAAAAGAAAAATGGAAAGAAAGACAACTGGGACCTGACAACAAACATATACTATTATAAACAATTTTTGACCATTTCAATGGAAACAATTCCTATTCTTCCATCAAGAACCTTCTTCTGCTGGGCACAGTGGTGCATGCGTGCAATTCCAACAGCTTGGGAGGCTGAGGCAGAAGGATTGCAACTTCAAAGCCAGCCCCAGAAACTTAGCGAGCTCCTAAGCAACCTAGTGAGACCTTGCCTCTAAATAAAAATTAAAAAGGGCTAGGGATGTGGGTCAGTGGTTGAGTGGTACTGGGTTCAATCCCCAGTACAAAAAAAAAAAAAAGAAAACATCTTTTTCCTTGTTTTTTTTTTTTTTAATTTGGGTGTTGAATGGTTCTAAACATTTGTACATATACATATATGTCTTACTCTTCTCATTTCTAGCAATTCTTGAAGGTAGTTGGTTTTTTGTTGTTGTTGTTGTTGTTGTTTTTGACTCTGTCTTTTGAAAACAAGGGTTTTTGATTAGTATACCTTGGTTTTGTTTTACATTGTTTTTGTTGTTGTTGTTATTTTATATTGTTTTTCTCCTGTCTATTTCTCTTGATTCTCTTCCTCTCTTTCACTAACAGCCAAATTCTATTGTTCTTTCTTTCAGTCTTTATCTCTTTACTCTCTCTCATACTCACTCCCAGTTATTACATCCTAAAAATCTCCTCTGCATTCTTCTTCTTCTCCTTTTTGAAAAAGCAAAACTGTTTTTAAACATAATATCTCAACTTTTGGCAACTGGTTACATTTCTGTTTATAGTGCTAATTGACATTGTAGAGGACAAAATAGGAATCAAGTATTTAGTTTAATGCTGAATACTGTTTGTATTGCTTGTTATTATTTGTCTACCCCTAAATTGTGAGGTACTAGAAACCTTCAGGAACACTATAAATCCATAGGGTAGAAGCTCTGCCATCTCCGATTCCTACTGATAAATGGGTAGACATGCAAACAGCATGAAAAAGCAAGGGAACAAACCATCTCAAACAATTCAAAATACCTCCTGCCCAGGCTCCAGTGATATCACAGTGGATGAAATGTCAGAGAAGGGATTTAGAAATATTAGGCTTAAACTGATATATTAGGTAAAAGATGATGTAAGGAGTGAAATCAGAAAAACCCAAGAAGTAAAAGATCACTTCAACAAGGAGATAGAAATCCTGAAGAAGAATCAATTGGAGATTCTCAAAAGGAAGGAATCAATAAACCAAATTAAAAATTCAATGGAAAGCAACACTATTATACTAGACCACTTGGAAGACAGAGTTTCAGTCAATGAAGACAAAATATATAATCTAGAAACAAGGAAGCCATAGAACTAAAAACTACAATTAATAGTTTAGATTTAATAGACATATAGAATATTTCATCCATCAATATCTGAATACACTTTCTTCTCAGCAGCACACAGATAATTTTCTAAAAATAGACCACATCTAAGGCCACAAAGCAATGCTTAGCAAACACAAAGTAAATAGAGATAATGTATTACATTTTATCCTATCACAGTGAAATGAAATTAGAGATCAATGATATAATAAAAATTAGAAGCTACTCTAACACCTGGAGACTAAATAATATGCTAAAGAATAGAAAGTTGCCAAATAAAGTAGCATTACATCTCACAAGGCCTGGAGAAAGAACAAATCAACAATAAAAGCAGTATACTACAAGAAATAATTAAAATTAGGGATGAAATTGAAACAAAAAATCAATGCAACAAAAAGTTGATTCTTTAAAAAAATAAAATTTATCAACCCATGCTAACCAAGAGAAAGAAGGGAAAAACTCAGATTTCTAAAATTAGTTATGAAAAAGAAAATATCACCATAGACACCACTGAAATACAGAAGATAAACAGAAACTATTTTGAAAATGTATACTCCAATAAAATAGAAAAACTTGAAGACATCAACAAATTTCTGGAGACATATGACCTACCCAAATTGAATCAGGAGGTCATAGAAAATTTAAACAGATTAATTTCAATCAATGAAATTGAAGATGCCATCAAAAGCCTACAACAAAGCAAAGCCCAGGACCAGATGAATTCTTAGCCAAGTTATATCAGACTTTCTAAGAAGAATTAACACCAATCTTCCTCAAACTATTGCATGAATTAGAAAAGGGGGAACCCTTGCAAATTTATTCTATGAAGCTAGTATCACCCTGATTCCAAAACTAGACAAAGATATAACAAGGAAAGGAAAATTTAGACCAATGTGCCTGATGAACATAGATGCAAAAATTCTTATTAAGATACTGGCAAATCACATACAAAAACACATTAAAAATATAGTGCACCATGATCAAGTAATCTTCATTCCAGAGCTACAAAGTTAGGTCAACATATGGAAATCAATAAATGTAATTTCACCACATTAATAGTCTTAAAGACAAAAATCACATGATTATCTCAATATATGAAGAAAGAGCATTTGACAAAATACAGCATACATTCATGTCCAAAACACTAGAAAAGCTAGGGATGATAGGAAAATACCTCAACATTGTAAAAGCTATATATGTGAAACCCAACATCATTCTGAATGGAGAAGAACTGAAAGCATTCCCTCTAAAAACTGGAACAAGACAGGGATGCCCTTTTTCACCACTTCTATTCAACACAGTACTGAAATTCTAGCCAGAGCAATTAGGCAAGAAAAAGAAATTAAAGGGATATAAATAGGAAAAGAAGAGCTCAAACTATCCCTATTTGCTGGTGACATGATCCTATATTTAGAAGACCACCCCCAAAAGAAAAAATCCATCAGAAAACTTCTAGAATTCATAAATGAATCCAACAAAGTAGCAGGATATAAAATTAAAACCCATAAATCAATTGTGTTCCTAAATGCCAATGATGAATCAGTTGAAAGAGATATTGGGACTACTATTCCATTCACAATACCCTCAAAAAATTAAATAAAACACCTGATAATCAATCTAACAAAAGTGGTGAAAAACCTCTACAATGAAAACTACAGAACACTAAAGAAAAAAAATGAAGAAGACCTTAGAAGATGGAAAGAGCTCCCATTTTCTTGGATAGGCAGAATTAATATAATCAAAATGGCCTTATTACCAAAAGTGCTACACAGATTTAAGTTTAATGCAATCCCTATTAAAATTCCAATGACATTCTTCATAGAAATAGAAAAAGCAATCATAAAATTCATTTGGAAGAAAAAAAAGCTCAGAATAGCCAAAGCAATTCTCAGTGAGAAAAGTGAAGCAGGAGGCATCACAGCACCATACCTTAAATTATACTACAGAGCTATAGTAACAAAAACAGCATGGTATTGGCACCAAAACAGACGTGAAGATCAATGGTACAGAATAGAAGACATAGAAACAAACCCACATAAATACAGTTATCCCATACTAGGCAAAGGCACCAGAAACATACATTGGAGAAAAGAGCCTCTTCAACAAATGATGCTGGCAAAACTGGAAATCCATATGTAGCAGAATGAAATTTAATCCCTCTCACCCTGCACAAAACTCAATTCAAAGCAGATCAAGGACCCAGACATTAAGACCAGAGACCCTGTGCTTACTGGAAGGAATTGTAGGCTCAAGTCTCATCATGTCAGCTTAGGAACCAATTTCCTCCACAAGACTCCTAAAGTACAAGAGTAAAATCAAGAGTCAATAAATGGGATGGTATCAAACTAAAAAGTTTCTTCATAGCAAAAGAAACAATCAGGAGTGCAAACAGAGAGTGTACAGAATGGGAGAAAATCTTTGCCACCTTCATCTCAGAGCATTCATCTCCAGGATATATAAAGAACTCAGAAAACTTAACACCAAAAAAACAAATAACCCAATCAATAAATGGGCAAAGGAACAGACACTTCACGGGAGAAATATGAATGGTCAACAAATATTGAAAAAAATGTTCAACCATTTTAAGCAATTAGGGAAATGCATATTAAACTACACTAAAATTCCAT